GAGAGTGTGTGTTGTGGTTGCCTTTTCTATCCAACTGATATCAAAACTCAACTTACAATTGCTAAATTTCATTTGTACGAAGATTTTGTATTGTTTATCAGTTGTATTGCTGGAAATAGAAATCCTCATCATGTTCTTTTAAATGTGTGTAGTATTGTATGTAGTATTTGATTGTCCAATTCACCCTGTACTTTAATTGGACTTTTATATAATGTTACTCTGTGAGTGCTTTATTCAGTGATTCATTCACTCTTTTAACAGATACTTACTAAAGTAGGTAGTTGAGGATCAAGTATTGTGTTCATGTGCCTGAATGAAAAGATGAAAAATAATGGTTTTTCTGTCACGTTTTGTTTTAAATATGAGTCTTTAATATCAAGGAACATAAAGTTCATTAGGGAGAGATCTGTAAATAAACCAGTGTGAAAAGATGGCATTAAAATTTTGACAAAAGAGTGGTGGAAGCACAGTTTTATAGGCAAATCTCTCTCTGGGAGGCATTGGGGACTCCTATAATCCTGGATGTACATCAGAACTTTTTTCTTGTTTATTTCTTTTGTAATAACTTGAACTTTACAAGGGTGGCAAATGACAAAGATAATCTTGCTTAGTGTTACACTAGAAATGGTTTTAAGGGGCAACCATGTTTTTAGTAAACTTCTACTAGGATAGAATAATGGCTCTATTATTGAAACAAAGTACTGGGGAATTGAGATTCATCTCTCATTTTCTTAGATCAAAAAATTAAAGATGGCAGTGGGAGTTTAGCTGTCACAAATGCTGAAAGTTAGCTTGCCTTCATGCCATGATTTATAGGCTACTCCAGTCTTTGGGCCTTACATGAGTGTCTTATAAAGCAGGTCTTTAATATTTATTTAAAAATAAATGTTAAAGGAAAGCAAACTCTGTAATGAGTATTAAATATTGAACTTCAATTACAGTGTTTTAATTTTACCCCAATTTTTTTCTCATGAAAGGTTTAAGAATATTATAATAGGAAGGTTTAGTTCCTTTTTTTTGTCTTTTTTTTTTTTTTTAAGTTTATCTATTTATTCTGACAGAGATTGAGAAAGAGTCAGGGGCGGGGGTGGGGGTGGGGAATGGACAGAGAGAGAATCCCAAGCAGGCTACATGTTGTCAGAGCAGAGCCCGATGTGGGGCTTGAACCTGCATACCGTCAGATCATGATCTGATATGAAGTCGAACACTTACCCAACTGAGCCACCTAGGTGACCAAGGAAGGTTTAGTTTCTCTTGTTGAACCCGTTACTTCTGTTTTCATCTTTCTTATAATTGTCCATTTGAATTTCTTAATGTGGTTATATACAAGGGCATTAAAATGGTTTTCACTATTATAAATAGTGCTTGATTGAATAGCTTTACCTGTATAGTTTTTTCTCTTTCTCCAGAGTTTTCATAAGATGAATTTCTAGGACAGAGATTTTAAGCCAAAGTATATGAGAATATCAATTCTGTATTGTCTAAACGTTTCCAAAGAAATTGCTCTAATTAATTGCATTTTACTGCCATTTCCTTTATAGTTGCTTAACTTTTTGAGAATATGTTTTATAAAAGTATTAAATGTCTTTTGCATAATATTCCTAATGATGATAGCATAACTTATTTTAGAAAAGAATATGGATCTGCTGTTGTGAAATGAGATTAATTAGTGAGAAGTTGACACTGACTTTAATCCTTTGTTCATTTAGTTAAAAAGTACTGGTTTCTTGGTATGAATACCATTGAGAAGGTGGGATGTTTAGGAAGCTAAATGTGCCTGCAATTTAATAATCTAGTTCCATGACCTCAAACAAGGAACTAAAAATGTACACATTTCAGATTTCCTGTTTGGGGATTATATTGCTTGGAAAGAAGCAATATCCTTGTTTTTGGATTATAATTGTTTAGAAGGAAGCAATATACCTGTTTTGGGATTAAAACCCTAAAGACAGATTAACTGTCTTTGAAGTTTCAGAAGAGAATAAGTAGGAAATAATGAATTTAATTAAGTAGAGAGCTATTGTGATATTGGTAATGATTATGAATGGTTGTGTCATTTGTAGCTCTAGGAAAAGTAAACTATGTATTTGTCTTGTTTAACTTGAACTTTCCTGTGTGCAAAACATAGAAAGGTCTGAGATACATACTAAGAACGTAAGCCCAGTTTGTCTCTAAGGATTTAGCATTTTTATGATATCATGTAGTACATTTACAAATACTTCTTCAAGGTATGCTTTACTGTACTTATTTTTATATGTAATTAATTTTAAAACATTTTAATGGAATATTTGAATGGCATTTTAATTAAAACCAGGCAGAAAAAACTTTACTGTTATAGTTTAAAAATGTGTAATGTTTATTCTAGGTTAAGAAGAGTAGGTTAAGAATACGTTTCCTTTAACAATTTAATTAAAATCTTTTTCTTTAACACTAGGGGGCACTCTTGATTTATGGATTCATAAGATTAATTTAGGTTAATCTTTATGCATAGACTGGAGTGAAATGAAATTGTTTGAAAACATGTCATTGCAAACTGAATATTGACATCAGAGAGAATTTGGATTATCAAGCTCATTTTATATGGCATTGTAAACAAAAGTTGATCCTTAATAGTGGCATGAGAATAATGAAGCTTATAAAATGAAATGCTGTAGATTGGAGGAAATGAAAGTATTTCAGTGCTCTGTTTGTTTGCCTTCATATTGATTTTCTAAGTGGGTTCTAAATGGTTTTAAGAACCTATTATTTCTGATATCTTATTTTAAAAAAAGTCTAGCACCATGTTTTGTTCTTAGCAAGTACTTAATATACACCTAAAGAAATGAAGATAGTTGGTTTTTTTTTAATTTTCTTGATGTTTATTTATTACAGAGACAGAAACAGAGCATGAATAGGGGAGGGGCAGAGAGAGAGGGAGACACAGAATCAGAAACCAGCTCCAGGCTCCGAGCTGTCAGCACAGAGACCAACGCAGGGCTCAAACCCACGAACCATGAGATCATGACCTGAGCCAAAGTTGGATGCTTAACAGACTGAGCGACCCAGGCGCCCCTAAAGATAGTCTTAAGATATGACTGAAGGATGCTGTCATTAGTAATAATTTTTGAGCATTTGAAAACCAAAATGTCTTGCTACATTCAGGAGACATATTTTAAGCATTTTCACTCACTGTGTCTTCAATTGGGATTTTGGAGACGCCCACCAACATGTATTTTGCCAGAGATGTATTTCTAGTTTTTTTGTCTTAATTCGAAGACTGTGGAACTTCAGCCTTGTGTGGATTAAGTAGACAAAATCTGCATCATCATGATTGCACACTTAGCATGTGTCAGCACTGTTTTATGGGCTTTGCATATATTCATTTCTCCTCACCACAACTCTGTGTGGTAGGCACTTACTGTTATCTTAGTTTAATAGGTAAAGAAATTGAGCCCAGAAAAGTTTGCTGGGTTCAAACTTAGGCAGTCTTGTTCTAGAATCTGCTTCTACATCACTGTCATCCTCTGTTGCTTATCCAGAGAGAGGAAGCTTAGCGTCAAGAGAATTATTATTGCTATTCAGACTCAGTTTTTAAAGTCAGTGTAATTTAAAATATCTAATTTATAGACACTTACCATTTCTCTTATGAAAAAGGATCATTGAAATTCAGAGTTAGAAAGGTGCCTTAGAGTCCTGTCATTTTATAGAGAGGAAGAAATTCCATTCTAGAAAGGTGAATTTACCAACACAGTGCTACACAACAAGTTACTTGTGGAAAGGGATGGGAAGCTCAAGTAAATATTCTGACTTACGGTAAAATGGAAAGAAATGTGATGTTGTGGAAATATTTGACTAGAATTTTAGATGGCTTGAATTTTATTCTCGCCTTTCCTCATTTACCATCCTGCGTCATCAGAGGCTTTGTTTCTTTGTGCTGCGTGAGTATAAGTCCTCCTTAATTTAGTTTTCCTGCTAGTTGTGAAGATCAGTGAGATAATGACTGAAGATACTCTGTAAACTTTATTTTTTTTCTTTTTTTCTTTTTTAATGTTTTTTATTTATTTCTAGGAGAGAAAGAGAGAGACAGCGTGAACAGGGGAGGGTGAGAGAGAGAGGGAGTCACAGACTGAAACAGGCTCCAGGCTCTGAGCTGGCAGTCAGCACAGAGCCCGACGCAGGGCTCGAACCCACGAACCGCGAGATCATGACCTAAGCGAAAGTCAGACGCTTAACCGACTAAGCCACCCAGGCACCCTGTAAACTTTAAAACTCTATGCAAATAAACATATATTGTGGTCTTTGACACGTTCTGTAATATTTTATTTTTAATTATTTGTGGTATCTTTGTAAACCAGTTTGTCAGCAGTGATCAGCTTAGTATTGCTGATTTGTAGATGTCTTTTATTTTATTTATTTATCTTTTAAATATTTTTTAATGTTTTATTTATTTTTGAGAGAGACAGAGAGCATGAGCCGGGGAGGGTCAGAGAGAGAGGGAGACACAGAATCAGAAGCAGTCTCCAGAATCTGAGCTAGCTGTCAAAATAGAGCCCGATATGGAGCTCAGACCCACAAACCATGAGATCATGACCTGAGCCGAAGTCGGACACTTAACCAACTGATCCACCCAGGCGCCCCTGTAGATGTCTTATAGATCTCTAAAAAATTTATTGCGTTATGCCCTGTGTTACTTTGCCACATGTTGTTTTACACTTTTTATTTACTTAAAACTAAAAAAGGGTTTTTGGCTTTTTCTCACACTAAGTGAAAAGTCACACTTGTGCTTTGCAGATGAACAACATACCAGTAGCCTGTATTGAATGCTGCCCATGTGGTGTTTCTGACCATTTGGAAAGAGCATCCAGGATTGTCCTCAAGCCAGATTTAGTGACTTACCTGAAATAAAAAAGAGTTCAGTAAAGTGGAAATGTTTTATTTCTTGGCATGGTGATAGGCATGGATTTGCTTTCTTAAACTTACAATAAGACATAGAGTAAACATTTTCTGTTTATTTTTTACAGGAATAATAATGTATTTGTGGCCTTGGACATGAAGCAGTCAGTCTTCTGTTACTGTTAACATAGCGTCAAGGACTGATGTTGTGGGAAGCATGGACCTCATGAACGGGCAGGCAAGCAGTGTTAATATTGCTGCTACTGCTTCTGAGGTAAGAATTCTCAGGTTAGCTGTAGAGTTTCTTACCTGGCATTCTGATTTTTCAAGCATTATAGTTGGTCAAAGACTTAAATCAGAATTTGAGAAAAGGGCTACAAATTTGTTAATTTTTAAAAAACTTTTATTTTTTATTTATTTTTAAATGTTTATTTTTGAGAGAGAAAGAGAGCAAGTGGGGGAGGGGCAGAGGGAGAAAGAGACAGAGGACCCAGGCAGGTTCTGTGCCGACAGCAGAGAGCTCATGCAGGGCTCGAGCTCACCAACCTCAAGATTCTGGCCTCAGCAGAGATCAAGTGTCAGATGCTTAACCAACTGAGCCCCCCAGGTGCCCCCCAGAAACTGTTTTAATTGTGTCATTCACATGTTCTATACGCCTTAGAAATAGTTAATCCTTATTCACTTAAGCTATGTGACAAATCATGATTACTTAAAACTTTTTCTTGAGTTTAGTTTAAAATTTTTTTAATGTTTATTTATTTTTGAAGAGACAGAGAAAGAGAGAGCCCAAGCATGAGCCAGGGGAGGGGCAGAGAGAGGAAGACACAGAGTCTGAAGCAGGCTCCAGTCTCTGAGTTGTCAGCACAGAGCCTGACACAGGTCTTGAACCCACAGATCATGAGATCGTGACCTGAGCCAAAGTTGGACGCTTACCTGACTGAGCCACCCAGTTGCCCCTTGGTTTAGTTTTAAAGGATACATGAAATGTATATATACATACATTAGAATGTCCTTTTAGGATCTTTTTACATTACATGAACCTTGAGGACAGTAATAGAAGTGAGAATAAAAGATTCTTTTTTTTAGAATCATATCATTTTGAACACTGTCCAGATCCCTTGATTCCAAATCTCTTGAAGGAGATCAAAAACCAAGAGGCCAAAATGTTGGAAGGGATGTAGCTTAGAGTGTAAAGATGCAGGTGATGACTGAACTGGATGCCCATCTCTCTCGTTAATGTGTTGGGATTTTATTTGTGCCTTGTGTTTTTTCTTTTTTGCTTTGTCTTTAAATCTAGGGTACTTGCCTGCTTTCCTTCTAGCTTTAGCAACCAGCTCCTGTATTTCTCTTTTATTTTTCTGCTGTTGTAGAGGATGAGAATAATGTTTATGACCTTTTAACATCTTGGCCTCAAAGTTCCTTAATAACTTAAACTCCATTTTGCCCCAGCCAGTTACTTAGGCCTTCTTGTCAATGAAAATTTTCTAAGTCTGTGGTTTCGATTATTTTTCTTACGCTGATGATTTCTGCATTTCTATCTCTAGCTCTAGCTTCCCTCATACATTTGCATTAAGCATTTCTGATGAATCAGATATTTTATGTATAATACAAAGAAAATGAAGTTACTTGTTACTATTCTGCTGTACAACCTCTAAAGAAAATAGTCCAGCCCTTTTCTCTGTCAATCACATTACCATTTCCCGTTACTGTCTGTATCAACATTATTTCCCTGGCCATCTAAGTTTAATCTTTAGATTTGTAATTAACTCACTTCTCCTTTGTTTATCACAACCTGTTTTCTTATCACGGCAGGGAGAGTACACGAGCAGAACAGAAGTTCCAGTTCTATAATGTAATCATGGAAGCGACATCCCATTCTCTCTGCCATATTCTGTTGGTTAGAAACAGGTCACAGTGCTGCCCACACTCAAGTGGAGGGAATTCCACAAGGGTGTGAGCGCCAGGAGACGCAGCCCTTGGCAGTTGTGCGAGAGCCTGGCCAGCACACCCCTCTCCAGGATCCGGCCCTTTTCTCCTTGTTTCTACCAGCACCATCTGAGTTTGGCCATTATTTCTTGTCTAGATCATTGCAGCAGCCTTTTAGCCTGATCTTGCACTTCCGTTCTCTGCTGTTTTTGGTCTATTTAACTATAATTCAACCTTAATATTCTTAAAATACAGCTCTTAGGCTTTATTGTATCCTCAGATTGTCCGTGGTTCCCCATTGCCTATTAATTAAATACAAATGACCCTAAACCTTTTATTTAAGACTTTCCTCAAAATGGCTCTAAATTTTCTTTTTAATAGATTTAATTCTTGATAATTATTAACTTGAAATTTCATTCTATTGAAAGAATACTATATCTTGCTGATGTTTGTATAAACCGTTCTTTTCCTACTTTGGTTGCAGCCTTGTCTATCAGTTTTCCTCCACGGGGCTTCTCTTCCCACTACAGTGTGCCCCTCTCTCTCACCGCACACAAAAAAATACATTTTGGCTATCTTTCAAAACCTATTTCAAATGTTATACTTTCAGTAAAGTTTCGTCCTGATCCCCTCAACAGAAAGAAGGGTTCCTATTTTGAAACTATCACTTAAAAAAATCCCACTCTTAAAATAATTTTTTTTCATAAGTGTATATATCACTTTTCTTCTGCCTTGAGACAGGAATTATTATATATTTGTATATATGTTTATATCATATGTATGTTCACCACGTGTTTTTATAACCATATTTTTGAATTTGTTAAATGTAAATGTGTATATATGCAGGATATTTATAATTCTATATACTGAAACATTTGGTCTAATATAAGAAACAGTATACAATTATTAAATAAAATAGATCATTTTACTGTAAAAAAAAAAATCTGCCCTAAAAGTGAATGAACTACATCAGGTCTTGATGTAATACAGTTTAGCTTATGGTAAGTGGAAAAAGCTGTCTTTTAAATTGTCCTATGCTGTGGTAAGAAAGTGAAATTTTTAAATGGATATTTTTTGCCTTCTATTAAATTGTGGATCTATTAACATATCCACGCAAATGTCCCATAAATCTGATAAGCTTATACAATGGAGAAAATACTTGATCTGGGTGATTGACTTCCTTCCCTATCTTAACAAAGCTTCTGAGATCAGAAGAGTTGCAGTGAATTTTTTTTCCAGATATTTAGAGGTGTCACCGGTTTTAGTCTTGTCTCGAATAAAGAATTATTACTATTCTCTTAGTGGACAATATGCTTAAGTAGTGCATAGCTTATTAGTACCAACTTATTTATTGGTATTGGGGAAGCAAATAGATACTGCTCGTAATTTCTTAAGCCTCTCCTATAATGGCTTGTAAAAAGGAAAAAAAGAAAGTGATTACTTCTTTTGGTAAGCAATAAAATTGCCTTTATGATTTGCTAACTTGTCTTGAATGAGTTAAAAACTTGGAGAAAATTACCAAGTTATGTTTAAAATTAATGTCTCTACTTGACAGAATGTATTTGGTTATTGGGGCAGTAACTGATGTCTGTTTGAATGTTTGAGATTGTAAATATACAAATAAATTTCTAACTTAATCTTGGGATATAAAATAATACTGTTGACATACTATATTCAAAATTACAGAGAATAAACATGAAATAAAATACATATAAAAAATGATTATGAGACTTTGGGTTTCTGCTCAGATAGAGGTTGGAATTCATCACTCCTTTCTGTCCTCACAACATGAATAAAACCCTGAAAATCAGGAACTCTTCTTCGCTCTCAGAAAATTGATGTCACAGAGCAAACTGACAGTGATGACCCAAAAACTGGAGAGAGGCAAATAGAGAATTTACCAAGAGCATAAATCACTGTAGCCAGAAAAGGATAGGAAAACTTAAGCTGTAGTTGACAAATTGCTGGAGGCATTGTGTAGACTAGCAACTAGCTTCAAATTAGAAACTCCTGAGGCCCAGGCTTAGGTTCTTCCAACTTCCACCTTTGTGTTTTACCTGTAGAAGCTCCATCAGGTTCTCACAGTGAAGATCAGGGAAAAATACCCTCTTGCTTCTGGCAGGGGGAGGGGAAGATAATAATTTTGAATTGTACCCAGTACATTCCGTTCTCCCCTGACCTCAAGGTAAACCCCTTTACCAGAGACCTACTTGGGGCAAGAGACATAACCCATCACCAGCCTTCCTTTCTCACTTTCTCAGGGATTGGTGGTGATGGTGGGGTACTGAGAAGTACTTGAGGTCATAGCCCAAGGGCATAAGCTCACAAAAAGACCTGACTGTAGGGCTTATAGAACACTTCTTACCCCCCCACCCCCATGCTTTACCACCACATTGGTAGGGCCCCTGTGTAAGGATTATAGCTGAAGGAACTGCAAGACACAGATTCTAAGAAGGAGTTTCTAGGGAAACCCGAAGAGGGACAATGGGGGACAAAAAGAAGGACACTAGAAGAATTGAAGAGTAGACACCTCAAGTACGTAAACAGTAAACACAGCATAACTCCTACCTGCAGAAGCATAAATCCTTACACTAAAGGCCTGTTTACCTCAGTGCCTGTTACTCAGTACATTATGTCAGGTTTTCAGCAAATTACAAAGCATGCTAAAAGGTAAGAAAAAGGCATAGTCTGGAGAGACAAAGCAGGTACAAGAGCCGGACTCAGATATGGCAGAGATTTTGAATTTCTCTCTGGATAATTAAAATAATTATGATTAATAATGCTAAGGGCTCTAATGGAAAAAATGGACAACTTGTAAGAACAGATGGATAATGTAAGCAGGAATACCAAAATTCTGAGAATTAAAAGAAACTATTAGAAATCAGAAACATTGTGTTAAAGATGAAGAATGACTTTGATTGGCTCACCAGTAGACTGGTGGCTAGTAGTTAGTCAACAAAAGAATTAGTGGTCTTGAAGCTATGTCTGTAGAAGCATCCCAAACTGAAATGGAGAGAAAATAGAATGAAAAAAATAGAGTAGACTATCCAAGGACTGTGACAATGACAGAGGGTGTAACATGCACGCAGTGGAAACCAGAAGATGAGAAAGGGGCCGAAGAAATATTTGAAGTAATAATGGTTGAGAATTTTCCCAAATTGACAGATCCTTTCCTTTGAAATGATTTTGATACTTAGCTGCTAATGAAAGTGAGAGAAAACATAAAAATGAGGCATAATGACAACTGTCCAAAAACTGATGGATAACAGCTGGTAGTTTGACATACGTTATTTATACATTGGTAACTGAAACTTTGGTGAATTTTTTATGCCATTACATGTAGCTTGATATCCTGCCACTATTTCCTAGAGAATGATCGAAATGTTGTTACAGCGATGCAACCAGCTGAGGCAGAGTACATTTTTTATCTCATGGTACAGACAAAGTGGAAATTGAATAGAAATAAACTTTTCACAGCCAAAATCCACCTATTGTCTTATATGTAATAACAGCAAATTCAAACTTAAAATAGTAACCTTAAAACAGAAAACCCTCCACTTTGTAATATAATATTATGGAAGAATAGTATCAATTGTACTGTTACAGACAGACATCACTTAACAAGTATGATTGGATTACTTAATAAAGTTCTGAATGTTTTCTTATGGTTTAAGTTATGAAAATAATTTGTCTTTTTCTTCAAAACAGTTGTTTAAAAATTATAAATAGAGGTAGTCTTCTCCCCTAACTTGCTTTTACCGCATTTGAGAATCATCAGACTTGTTAAAATCTTTTGTTTCTGTCAGAAATGATAGGATGTCAGGATGAGGAAACTGACAGACAAGAAAATGACTCACTTAAGTACCTAGAAATTTAAAAAGGTTAGATTTTCAGTTGTCGGACCCTTTATCTGGTGCTTTTCCAACTGAGCAGCATGTTGTACGCAGTTTTTTAGTGTTTGTTGACCTACTGTTTTCAGTTTCCTCAGTGTTTAAGGCCAGTGGGGCTGTTGTGGCACTCACTGTGACACGGTATGAAAATGACTGCATTTTCTTTCAATTTAACAGAAAAGTAGCAGTTCCGAATCATTAAGTGACAAAGGTTCTGAACTGAAGAAAAGCTTTGATGCTGTGGTATTTGATGTTCTTAAGGTTACACCAGAAGAATATGCGGTAAGCCTCCCCCCTCCCCTTCCTCCAGCTTTTGCACATAACTTACACATTGATGGGGTTGAGCTAGAATTTGCAAGGCACGGCAGAAGGAGGTGGTTACAAACAACTGGAAGCAGGAATCGATGGAGAGACTAGCCCAGCAGTGGAGCAAGCAGAGGAGTGAAATGGGGAAGGGAAGAAGAGCTGGGCAGAGGGTTAGAGCAGCTTCCTGCGTTACAGTCTCGCTTGGCAATAATGAGTAAGTACTTAGCACCTAAAACTCATGTAACATTGTGTGCTACTCAAAAAACCAAAACAGCACACACATTAGGGGGAAAAAATGTCAGTATTTAACCTTTGTGCTGATTGCTTCCGTCTCTCCCTGTACCACCTCCCCAAGCCAACTGTGCCTTCTTGACCTGTGTGAGAAGTATTTTGAGTTCTTTGTAGATTAAAAAAACTGAAAAATGAAGTTTGAAGTCATTATTGTGATACCATGAAAGATACCGTTTAATTTTTCTTTCTCCATTAACATGTTAATAGCATCTATTGATTTCCTGACATTGAACCACTCTTGCATTCCAGGAGTAAACTATATTTAATCATAACATGTTATTCTTTGGTATGATGTTGGGTTTTGTTTTACACTTGTAGCCTTAAGTGAGATAGAGATAGCTCCATAGCCCTGTGCAGCGAGCCCTTAGATATGAGTTGCCACTGATACAATTTCATTGATTCTTACAAATGGGGAAGAACACCTTTATATTAATATCAGATTTTATATTACTGTTATAGGAAATACAATTAAATAGTCACAATAATACTGCACCATGAACCATTAGATCTGATTTTTGGTTTTGATTTTGAGTTAATGTATAACTGTGCTGTGTCCAAGTCCTTAAATTGTTTTTCTTTTCTTTTTTTTAATTTTTAAAAAAATATTTATATTTATTTTTGAGAGAGAGAGACAGACAGAACATGAGTGGGGGAGGGGCAGAGAGAGAGGGAGACACAGACCTTGAAGCAGGCTCCAGGGTCCGAGCTGTCAGCACAGAGCCCAGTGTAGGACTCCAACCCATGGATTACGAGATCATGACCTGAGACGAGGTTGGATGCTTAACTGACTTAGCCACCCAGGCGCCTCTTTTTATTTTATTTTCTAATTTTACTTCATTTATCTCACAAGAAAATATGAATAGGCATGAGATCACTTGAAATGATCATATTTAATGGTACAAGTGCTAAACTTTCATTTTCTGTAATCCCTTTTAAAAATGACTCTTAAGTAAAATTTTGAGTATTCAATATATTGTAGTATAGAATATAATTCTAATTTAGAATATATGTCATGTCCTAGAAGAAATTGTCATTTTTTACTTTTTATTTCAGGGTCAGATAACGCTAATGGATGTTCCAGTATTTAAAGCCATTCAACCAGATGTGAGTAGTTTTAAGAACTTTCCTTTTAAATATACAGAATGGTCATTAATAGTATCCCAAATTAAGAGGTTTTAGAAATGTCAGATTCATATTAATGTTTAAATGTTTATAGCTTTTGATGTGACTGTCCATATACTATTCAGGCCTCAGAAAGTCATATGGCAGTCATAGACACAAATCACTGAGTCATAGGTGGGACCGATGAATCATCCTGGGTTAGTAGGCTTCCTCACTCTTCTTAGGAGGGGACTAGGCTTAGGGTGAATGGGACACCCAAGACTTTGAAGCTTTTTCATGGAAGAATGAGAATAAGAAACAGGGTTTCACAACTCACCACCGCAGTCTTTTCCTTTACTTTATTTATGACTTTACAATATGACTGTGTGTTAACATTTTGGAGGGAGGTGGGAGGATCAAGCAAAGCATTTTTTGCTTTTATTAAAAAGGGACTGACATTTATTATGCATCTACCTGCTGTAAGCTGTTTATTATGCTGTCTGTGCGTATGAATGTGACTGCGGTAGTGTCTATGTCACTGATGAGAAAACAGAATGACAGCTGTCCTTGCTGCACAACTAAGTGTAGGAATTGGGTTTCAGACTGGTACTTTTTCTACTCTTACCAAGAAAGAATGTAAGTGTGATTTTTTACCCCAAAAGCAAGTGATAATACCAATATTTAGTACCATAAGATAGATTTTCTTTTTATTCTTTTGGGAACAAAATGTCGTGTGTTTGTTGTGTAGAAAAGTGTGCAGTGGCCTTGACCACTGTGATTACTGTCGGGGTTAGAGAAAACGTCCGTGTCTTAAATGGTAGAGACCGTATTAGTCTTGTGATTTTCAAGTAAGTTAATGTCTTAGTATCTCAAGTTGGTCATTTACAAAAGGAAGGGGGGGGAAGGGGACTGGAGTGGTCTCTGAGTCCCTGTCATTTCCACAGTTCTATTTTCCTAACATTTGCCCTATACCATGAGGATTCTCTTAGTAGAAACGTTAGATTAGCGATAGGAGGAGCAATCTATTCTACACGTAAAGCACAAACAGAAAATGGCTTTTGTTTTTAAGTAACAAAAGCTGTTCATTTCCTCACATCCCTGAACAAAAGAAACTAAATTCTTTACAAAAATTACACTTTTTTTGCCCTGAAATTCAGCCATCTTATCCATAGACATATTTTTTTCTTTTGGGTAAACTGCAGTGACCATATTACTGTTCCATAGGAGAGTAGTCCTACCCATTGGAAGTATAGTGTGAGCCACTTATATAACTTTACATTTTCTAGTAGCCACATTATGAAGTAGAAATAAGACAGATGAGGATGTTTGGGTGGCTCAGTCAGTTGAGCATCTGACCTGAGGTCATGATCTCAGGACTCGTGAGTCCAAGCCCCATGTCAGGCTCTGTGCTGACCACTTAAAGCCTGGAACCTGCTTCAGATTATGTGACTCTCTCTCTCTCTGCCCTTTCCCCCGTCCCCCTGAAAAATAAGCATTGAAATTTTTTCTAAATAAAAAATTAAACAGATGAAATTAGTTTTAATAATTTTATTTAACCTACAACATCCAAAATATTACCAGCTTGACTTAATCAGTATAAAATTATTGAGTATACTAGGACCTTGAAATTCAGTGTGTCTTGTATAGTTACGGCACAGTTTTATTTGGAGTAGCCACATTTCAAGTACTCAATAGCTGTTTGTGACTAGGTGCTTTGCACGTTGAAGCTCTAGATAATTATTATTGAATACATGGAATTCAAGTCAGTATGGGAGTTTTGTATTTTCCTGGGACATCTGACGCTACTTTGTGGAAGTCAGAAGTGAACCTTAAAATTCCCTTGGCCCCACTTTCTTGTCTAACTTAATACTAGTCTCCTTGATTTTTTTTTTTAAACCTCCTAAGTATCTTATCTATCCATTTTCTCTCTACTTCCAACACCCCAATCCAAGATACCATTTTATCTGAGCTGTAGTGTCTTCTTACTGAATGATCTACCTGCATCCATAACCCTTCTAAACTCTTTTCTATCTAACACCTGTGGTAATGTTGTTGAATGTGTAAATCTGCTCATATGATCCCTCTGCTTAAAACACTTCAGTGACTTTCTGAGGATGAAGACAAACTACTCTAATATGGTCCACAAATCTCCTCCTAGTTTTGCCTCCTTATACATTTTCTACCTCTTCCTGGTCTAACTACACTGGCCTTTTTATCCCTGTCACCACTGAGCCTGTGTATATCCTCAGTAAGTCCTAGTCATCCTTCAGTTGTCAGGTCAGGTTTGACTCTCTCAGGAAAGCTTTTCCTGTCCTCCCAGAGGTTCACCTGGCGCACTCTGCTTCTTCACTGCCCTTGTCAGTTGCAAGCTTCCATTTATGTTTTGTGATTCAACAAGTAATAGCTGAGCGTCTATTATGTGCTAGGTGCTGGTTTCATTACTAGAGATATAGCAGTGAACAGACTAAAATTCCTGCCCTGGTGGATTTTATATTTGTGTGAGGTGAGCTAGATTGTGTGTCATGAAAAACATAAAAGCAACCAGAAGAGAATAGAGAGTGAGGACAGTGAGGATTTTGATTGCAGATGGCGTGGTTTCAGGAAGCCTTCCCTGGGAAGGTGCCATCTGAGCAAAGGCCTGAAGGAAGTGAGAGAGTGAATCCTGGGTGTTTGGGGGGAGAGCGTTCCAGGCAGAGAACAGCCAGGGCGAAGGCCAGTGAGCCAGAGTCATGGAGGGAGGGGGGAGGGAAGTAGAGGGGGGAGGTAGAATGAGGGCTGGATAGTCCCGGGCCTTGCAGATCATTCCTCTGAGAAAGACGGGAGGTTCTGGGAGGGTTTTGAGTAGAGGAGTGGCAATTTCCGACTAAGATTCTCAGTAGCGCTTTAAGTTAGCTGTGGCTGCTGACTTGGGTACGGGGTTAGGAGCTGGTCTCAAGGTCTGAATCAAGAAGACCGGGTAAGAGAGCAAGGTGGCTTGGGTCAGGATGGGAGTGGAAGAGGTGGTGAGTTGTCAGACTCTCTGTGCAGGGGACGTTGAGGGTGCTGCTAGGGTTTTTGGCCTGATGGCAGAAGCGTGTACTTGATATTCTGTGAGATGGAAAATTATTATTGTGCTCATAACTCCTGGGGCTGCCATTCATATAGAATATTAGGTGCAGTGTTGCCTTGTGGAGAAAGGCCAGAGCTGCAGATTTGGAGGAAAGAGCAGGAGTTTGGCTTCGGACATGTTTGGGTTTACAAGTCTGTTAGAATGCTGAGTTAGGTGATGTATACTACATTACTTGTCCAGGTTGCAAGTGTAGTTGGAGAGAAGTCTCTGTAGAGACTTCTTGGGTGAGGTTACCAAGAAAGTGAATATAGATGAGAGAAGGGTCCTATTTAGTGTTTAGGTGGAATTAGCAAAAGATAAAGAAGCAGCAGTGAGTGATTTAGGAGGAAAATCAGGTTATTAGTATGGAATTAGGTGAGCCGAATGAAGGAAGTATTTTTAAGAGGGAAGGAGTGATGAGGTGTAAAGTGTGGTTAATCATGTGCTTATTTGATTAATTGCTTGCTGCTTCCACTAGGTTTTAAGCTACATGAAGGCAGAGACCAGAAATAATTTTGCTTCTACTATTTTATCTGCCTGGCATGTAGTGGGGCTCAATATTTTGAATGAGAAGATGAATACAGTGTTCAGTAAATACTTGTTCAGTGAAAGAATGTTTTCAGAAATTGAAGAAGTAACTGTTGAAAGAAATGATGTAGCACAAAAATATTCTTGTTATATATTAGTCTCAGATAATCCTCAAGATTACACTAAATCTGGCAGTATAAACAGGACTTTGTCATCCGGCAGAAAAATGTTTTCTAATATATTTTGAAATATTCAAGACTACAACAAGATGTAAAGACTAATAAGATGAACCTCTCTGTACCCACCTCACCAGTGCTTTGAGCTGCTCTGTATTCTGCCTGTCTCCCCCCTCCTTCCTCCCTCCTCCTTCCTCTCACCCAGGGAGCCACTGTCCAGTATCAATCTGTATCATTCCTGTGCATTCTGTATTTCTTCTATGTCTGTCCCTTAGCAATTTGAACTATTGCAGGTTTAAAAAAATTTTTTATGTAAAAGGTACCCTGTTGTTTTAGTCATCTTTAGCTTGCTTTTTATGTTCAACATTGCTGACTAGCACCCATGTTAATATATGTACTCTAGTGCATTAATTACTGAGTTGAAGAGTACGAATGTCTTTGAGTTTATTAAAGACTTCTCAGTTTTCTGAAGTGTTTGTATAGATATTATTTATTATGTCAAAACTCTTGCTGTCGACAGATTAAACAAAAGATTAAGCCATGATGTCAGTCTAATGTATTAGTCTTTGTATTAGCATAAAATGCATAAAACTTCACATACTGTGGAAAGATAGTGGTTATCACTGAATCTAATAAATTTATCTTGATAGTTCTGTCCATTATATCAACCAACGTTCATGTCTCTATATAATGTAAAACTTTAAAAAATGTATATATACTTTATGAAGCTTTAAAAGATCTTTAGTTCACTAAAACTCCTAATCAGAACTCACTATTACATGTATATATTCATTTCAGGTGATGATTTATTCACGTTTTCTAAAATGAAATCTGTACTAAATTTAAACTTTGAAGAAAAAGATTCTGGATCCAACTCTGCAGTTTGGCGATTTTAGTTGCAGGTTGGCCATTAAACCACACAAGTCTTGTTCAGTTTTCTATAATAGAGATAGTTGCTGAGTTACCTGAAACTTATATAATATGTATCTCTCATTAATTCAGTTCCCTGAGTAGGACCTTGTAATTCCTACCTGTTTGGGGAATTCTGTATTCCCAAGTCTTTCGTGTTAAGTAGAATTTACCCCAGCTTGTTCTACCTAAACTTGTTATTAACTTGTGGGAAGAAAGGGGCAAGTGTATGGAGTGCAGTGGTTTTCTCAGAATAAAGTAGCTTATGTTACTGTCTGTTATAAGTACACCTGAAAACTGCT